GCGTCCATCCCAATTCCATAAATATCCTCACAATCAGGCCCTCGGCCTCACTCAGTCATTAATCTCTCCAGTCTCTCGGGCTCACAAGAATTATGATAATCAGCCCAAACAATGATGATATGATGTGTAAATAAATGGCAATAGAGACTGAGATATGATATGCAATTAATAACTGCGACTGAGTACATAATTTCAAATTAAGCAAATAATTCAACATGTAACATGACCTCTATGGGTCCCAACAGTACCAACAGCTCAATTTTTCTAACACATGGAGAATATACTGATAACGACAAGATTGTTCACAATTCCTATGGTGCACGCCCACACGCCCGTCATTTAGCATGTGCGTCATCTCAATACTAATCACATAACACGAAATTTGGGGTTTCATACCCTCAGAACCAAGTTTAGAAGTGTTACTTACCTCAAACCGTGCAAATCTCTACTCCAACAAGCCCTTGCCTCGTGAATCGGCCTCTGAATGCCTCAAACCTAGCCATAAATAATTCGATACAATCAACACGAGCTAAAGGAATCAATTCCATATGAAAATACTAAGTTCTTAATCAAAAGTCAAAAGGTCAACTCAAAAGTCGACCCCGGGCCCATGTCTCGGAATTCAATAATAGTTACTAAATCTGGAAGTCCATTCGACCACGAGTCTAACCATACCAAATTTACCAAATTTTGATACCAAATCGTCACTCAAATCCCCAAATTTACTCTTCAAATCCCTAGCCTCAAACTCACAAAATTCCACCTAAAAAACATACAAACTATGTGGTAAATTCAATGGGGAAATAAGATTATTGAATAAAAATGATCACAAGTGACTTACCTCAAGAAACCCCTCGAAATGCCTCTCGAAAATCGTCTTGGTCCGAGTTTGCAAAGTCCAAAATAAGAAAAATCACGAAACTATTCGGATTTAAAACTGCCAGTGTTTTCGCACCTGTGACTCACTTAACCTCATCTGCGGTCTCGCAGGTGCGGACGCTTCCTCCGCTTATGCGGTTATACCTGAAGGTCCCTGCATTCGCTTCTGCGATCATACACGCGCAGATGCGAGTCCGCATCTGCGGAACTTCCTCCGCACCTGCGCTCCATAGCCTCCTCACTGAGCTCCGCTTCTGCGCCCATACGCTGTATCTGTGACTAAGCAGGTGCAGAAATACCCTCGCACCTACGACCACTGTACACCTCTTTCCAAGCCGCTTCTGTGCTCCTCGTGTAATTTCTGTGGTAACGCACCTGCAACCAATTCCATCGCAAGTGCGATCGCACCAGACCTGGTGCACTCCAGCAATCCTTCCATTCGAAACTTCGATCCGTTAACCATTCGAAACCTACCCGAGGCCCCCGGGACCTCAACGAAACATACCAGCAAGTTTTAAAATATGATACAAACTTAGTCGAGACCTCAAATCACATCAAACAACATCAAAAATACAAATCGCACCCAATTCAAGCCTAATAAAAACTAAGGAATTGCAACTTCTACAATTGATGTTGAAACCTATCAAATCATGTCCGATTGATCTCAAATTTCGCACACAAGTCATAAATGACACAAAGGACCTACTCCAACTCCCTGAACCAAAATCTGAGTCCGAAAATCACAAAGTCAACTCTCGGTCAAACTTCTCAATATCCAAAACTTCTAATTTTCCAACTCTGGCCATTTCAAAGCCTAAATCAACTACAGACCTCCAAATCACTATCCGAACATACTCCTAAGTTCGAAATCACCCAACGGAGCTATCTTAACCATCAAAACTCCATTCCGAAGCCATTTACACCTAAGTCAATATTTGGTCATCCTTTTTAACTTAAGCTTCCAACCTTGAGGCTAAGTGCATGTCTCAAATCATTTCGAAATATCCCCGAAATCGAACCAACTACCCCGGCAAGTCACATAATGGCAATTAAGCATATAAATTAGCAGTAAATGGGGGAACGAGGTTACAACATTCAAAACGATCGGGCGGGTCGTTACAAATAATTATATTGTTCACATAATTCTACCGTTTAACAATGAAAATTAAGTCGATTTTTCCAACTTCTTTCTTTTTTTNCTTAATTTGAGGAGGATAAAAGTTTCATTTGTCCAAAAGAAAATAACCTCGGAAGTTTTACGTAATTTAAGGTAGTTCCATGCAACATATGTTTATATCAAATAAATTTTGTTCCAACTTTAAAGCCAAAGAATCCGCTGTAGCACTGGCAATTTCTTTCATTAATGGAATCCGGATTCGAACATCGGAATAGCTTTTTGATATATTTGTTTCCTCTATCATTTGTACAATTTTATCATTTTTATTTCCGTAAGTTATCATGGGAAAATAGGTAAGGAGTGGAAAAAAAATAAGAAGACATAATTCCAGTACATAAAACCTATGACAGGTTAAATTGTAAGTGTACAACAATAACAAACTATAACCCCACAAGTGAGGTTTAGGGAGGGTAGATAGTACTCAAACTTTACCCCTACAGTGAATATAGGGAAATTATTTCCAATAAACCCTCGACACGAGGAAAAAAAATGAGAAAAGAGCAGTAGCATTTAGCAACAAGTAATAACGAGAAAAAAATTGAAAATGTCCGAAAACCCGCAAAAATACCTATTAACCTACAACCTTAATCCTCGACCTCCACACCTTCCTATTAAGGGTCATGTCCTCAGTTAGCTGAAGCAAATTCATATCTTGCATAATCACCTCTCTCCAATACTTTTTTGGCCTATCTCTACCTCTTCTAAGACCCACTAAGGACAACCTCTCACACCTCCTTGCCGGGGCTAAATTGTACCGATAGTGTAAAAAAAATTATTTGGTGCATATAATTGACTTAAATTCTATTGAAAGAGTTTAAATTCTATGCACTTCTAATATAAAAAATTAAATATTTACACAGTCCGATAATTTAGAAGATAATTACGAATAACCTTGTTTAATAACATTGACGGGTGTATAATAGGGTGTTATCTTATGTAAGTTCGTTATTGTGTGTACCATGTTACAATTTGTAACTTAATTTTCATGGCTTTAATATAAAATTTGTAAGTGTATGTGTACCATGGCTTCAGACCCCACTAGTGAGATTATACTGAGTTGTTGTTATTGTGTAGGATTATACTGGGTTGTTATTGTTGTATGTGTAGCATGGCCTCTCATTTCGCTAACAATCTATATAGATTGTGTTTTGATTAGGGTCGATCATTGATGACAAAACTAAAACAAAAATATTAATCAAAATATATTGTCTCCTACTGCTCTAATGCAAACAGAAATCAAGTCTAGCCATATATGACTTCAGAATCCGTAAAGGCTTAGACATATATGCAATAATGCAAATTAGGCAAGTTAGAGAAAATGTTAGGCTGCATCCTTATCAAATATTTATAGTTGTTCTTTTGGTTGAGGACCTTCTAATTAAATAAGTTTCTTTCGGATTGGTAATAATTACGTAAGATAAAACAATAATTTCACGAGGAAAATACTTGCGATTTAATTTGAAACTTAAACATATGGGTCACTTTCCTTGTCCATTTCCTCAAATCATATGCATAGGGATCGATACTTGTCTCATCGGAATTTTTCTCCACCATCCCGATTGGAATTAGAATTGCACCTGCCTAATTGCAACTTTTTTAATTATTTTTTATTTTTGTATAATTTTCCAGTATCGCTGGGTGTGTTGTATTATCGTTAGAAAGGAAGGGGAGATTACCTTACCTCCAAGATTACAACACTAGAGAGTCTACCCTAACCAAAAAAATCACAAAGGTGTGAAACACACTCCTGTGCCAAAAAAATTACAAGATGGAAAGGCTTAACTTACAAAGAAATTTGCCTTATCATACTTTGTTCTAATGCTAGGTAATTGAAATTTATCTAAAATGAAAGTTCCCTTGATTTCCCTAGGCAAAAGGTAGAAAGATATGTACATCTTACTCTCCGATTTGTTGGAAGCCATTTTTGCCAAGTAGTTTGCTACTTGGTTAGCTTCCCCATAGTAATGCATAGGAGTGATATTGGCTTGGTTCATGCACAGTGAGATATCATTGATCGTGTTCTTCATTTTATAATTGTCAGTATGTCTTTCTTTGATCATGTTGACTATGAGCAAAGAGTCCATTTCAAGCATGAAGTCTGAGAAGCCATTCTGAATACACCGTTTAATTCACTCTACATCATTTATAGCTTGTTTGGTCAAGCTTCTAAATTAGCTTATTCTGAGAAGTATTTTTTTCAAAAGTGCTTTTCAAATAGTACTTTTGGTGAGAACAAATTTGTGCTTGGCAAATTAATTTAAAAAGTACTTTCATCAAGAGTTAGTGTTTGGTAAGCTTCTAAAAAGTGGTTCTAAGTATATTTTTCTCAAAAGTACTTTTCAAAAAAATGCTTCTAGGGAGAAGCTATTTTTTTTTGCTTCTAAAAAACTATTTTTGCTTCTACTCAAAAGCATTATTTTCTTCTAAAAGCTTGGCGAAACTCTTCAACTTTAATTTTTTTTAATTTTTTTTTCAAAAAAAATATTTTTAGTCTTAGAGAAACTTGGCCAAACATATTATTAGACACAGAATGTCAATTATCTCACCAAAAGTTTTTCTTTTTATATCTTCCTTCCCACTATTTCGGAGTTATCCCCATCTCAAAGAATAAATGGAAAAAAGAAAAAAACTAAATGATGTTGCATGTAACTACAGATACTCTCTATAAATGAAAAATAAATGATTAGTGAAGTATTATATAAAAAGTGATTTAGTAGAATGAGTACTGCTAATCAGATTGCGTATATAGTTTTATAAATAAGATATTTATTGTTCTTAAAACTTTAAAATCCAAACTATTAGCAGACACTGGGTACTATTTGTTGTCTCAACTTCATTCGCCTCATAACCTTTGAATAATCTACACCCCACGAGGAACCAGAAAAGTCCAGGGAGACATGAATCTCAAATTAAAGAGAGACGTGTCCAATCAAAGCTTCCATAAATGGTAAGCAAAGAGGGCAGTCGTAGATCAAATGATTATGTCCAAATCTGTATATAATCAAATAGCAAACACATAAAAAAAGATGAAGAGAAAAAGTTAAAACTTTTGTGCATATATAATTGAATTGATTGGCTTTGGTATTTGGCAATAGATTCGAGGAAGAAATTGGGGGAATCTCGTGGCCATAAGGGGGGCATTGATTTTTGCATGCATGAAGTGGTAAAGAAAGGATCGGTCTCTTGGGAAAGTCGTTTATACTAACAAAGAAAGTTGTAGAGGATGAAGGGTAGAAATAGCTAGTTTCCTTGTTTAGCAAACAAGGAATAGTCCCATCACCAAAAAGACAGAAACTTAATTTCCCTCTCCTAAGCTCAGCTAAAAGATCACTATGACAATTGACAGTGACTTGTGATTGTAGCACTGGTCATTTTCAGCTTTCTTTCTTTAACATAAAAAGAAAAAGAGAAAAAAAGGAGTTAGAAGATGTTAGGGAAGCCATAACTCATAAGCATAAACTTGTTTAATTGATCCTTTCGTGCATGCTTTCAACTTCTACCTTCTCTTTTTGTTTGTTCATATGATCCCTTTATTCTTCTTGAAATTACTTTGTACCCCTATGGGATAAAGATTTACTATTATTTACTCACTTTAATCAACTTAATTGTAAGTTTAATTTTGACGGAGAATATCTTAGCAGGGAGTGCTAGCTTCATCTTTTTTATTGGATTTAACCCACACAAATTTAAATTAGTTAGCAGTAGATTTACTATACCTAATAGGATAATACTTTAAGAAAAAAAAGTGTTAGCTGCCAAACATGAAGAGATGGATGATTTTTAAAGGCTATCAATGTCATTATATTGAGTTTTGTTTGGGTTTTTAGTACTAATAGATAATTGGATTATGCTCAAAGAAACCATGATAGGAATATAGTAGTAGAATACCTTAAAAACTGGTAAGAAAAAATTTGCTTGACAATGATCACTATGTTTTGACGTTAAGAAAAGCTCAGTACTAGGAAAAACGAAAATCACATTTTCTGATCCATGCTCTTAACCTTTTAGACAGTCTAATTGGCCATTGTCAAGTTTATTGCGTTAACCATGCATCTCTTTGAATACCGTGTGATATTTATTTGCCCTAAATATCAAAAGCAACAAAATATAGTATAAGATGATTAGATAAGCTTTTATTTGATAAAAGTGGCAAAGGGAAAGGCTTTACATAAAGATGCTGGGAAAAGGATCTGTTGAAATCTGGAGAGACAATTAAATTGAAAGAATCGGAGAAGTACTACAATAATTATTGCATATCCAGGGTATCGTCCTTTTGTGATTTAAATATAATTACATATCTTTCAAGCTTAAAATGTCCTTTTGATAGAGGACATGAGCTGTTGCTTGCTTAAATCATAGGAGTATATAAATTAAAATAATTCAGATTTAAAAAGTCAAAGAGATCAAATCCCAACTTTCATCAGCATCTATACGCAATATTGCCCTTTTCTTCCAAAATCAAGGACACTGACAGTTTTTGAGACAGTAACATAGCACATCATATATTACCAGGGACCTTTGGTGAAAAACCTAGAGTATAATATCCCATATTTGAAGATAAATAATCATGTTCTCCACTCATTAAAGAAAAAGACAATTAATTACAATAAATCGACCTTTGAATTACACATAAGTTGGATTTGCTTCTTAACATGATATGGTGCAACTTTGCACGTTAAGCCCTACTAGAAGGTTATAATTATGAGGTTTGTGTAGGTTTTGATATATTTGCCAAATGTATACTTCATCCACACCATATATTTAAGCTTAATAAATAAAGTTAAACCTGATTTTTCTTTTTCTTTTTTGTTTATGTTGTTCAACAATATGATGATACATTGATACAATCTTGCAATGCCATGGTAGAGCCAAATTTTTGAAAAGACCTACCACTTACCCTTAAAAGAATTCCGTTAGAGATTCAAAGTACTTTATGAACTACAAGTTGAATTAACCTCGCACATGCGCATTCATATATATA